TCCATGGAGTTTTTTCATGCATTTAATGCGGCTTAGTTCATTTAAAGACATGATTCCCTTCATATGTCAGCATCACTATCCTTATGAAATGAACTCAAATTGCCTCGGCATAATCTCTTGTTTTTCGACTTTTAGATAAGCAGCACGTGCTAATCTGAAAGCACCTTGAGGCATTTCACTGATTTGACACTAAAATGTCAAGCGTGGTGCTGAAACAGCTAATGTCTGGGTAATCATCCACACTCTCCATGGCCATTTAAAGAACTTTGATTTTGTGTGGGTGTTGAGGACAACACATGCAGTGGGATAATAATTACCTCTTAAGAGGCAGTGTGTCAAAGGTAAAGATCTGACACAACAAGCCTTCCCTCGGATTCCTGCGGACAAAACCAAATGCAGAAGTGTGCCATCTATCATTTAACGCGTCATTGTTTTCTCTTTTTCAAAGACAACATGTCAGACTGGGTTTAACAGCTATTGTACCATCTGACAAGAACAATACGCATTGTTTTGTTTCCATGTCAAATGTACTAATGAGTTCGGTACCAGAGACCACAGTGGCTGTTCACACATGTAGAGTCACTGTGATGACAGTTTCATCTCTTTATGATTACCAGGGGAACTAAATCAGGGCTGGATGTTTGCTACCTTATTACACGACTCATACGGACCGGAGCGGCGCCCAACGACAGGGTGCCGGAGGCTTTGTGGCGAGCTCCTGCTGCTTGATACACTGGTTGGAGAGATTGTAGGACAAGAGGCAGAACAATCAAGTAATATTCTGCTTTACAAAGATTCACACAAAGTTATAGCTTGGAAGCATGATCATCTGTAGAGAAACGTGTATACTATGTAGAGCTAAATGCTATACTGACAGACAGTACCTGCTACGTCACACTGACATGTTACAGTCCAAACATGAAGGTATTTCATGGTAGATGAAAGGCTAAAATTTTAAAAAATTTAACTGAAATTACTAGAAAATGACAAAAAGATTTTCTTAATTTCTACAAATAATCTGAAGTATTACGCTGTGATCGGCAATCGGCAGACACTGATTTTGGTGTCCCAAAAATCCAGATCAGCACATCGCGAATCAGGGGTAAAATCTGACTATAGGACAGCAGGGCTGAAAATTGGATGTCAAAAAAGGCCTTTTATATGAGTCAGTTATCGATCAGTGTTTTTTTAACATATGTAAGATAAGAAACAGGGGGAAAAGACCAACATTAAATTGTTACCCGAGCCCTATTTCAACATAATCTTTGAAAGTAGTTCAGTGCTACTATCAGTCTTGCTTAGTTAGGCCATAAGAGATTGAAAGGCTAACTAGTTCCTCTACCTACATCCCCCAGAATGCCATACAGTTCTGGATTGAAGTCCATTGGAGTTATTAAAATTGTATTATAAGTTATAAGTTATTATTGCCCAACCCTACAGCCCAGGTATTAACTGTGCATTCCACTCAATTGGGCCTTTGGAGGTGTAACGAGAATGAAGCCATTGTTGAAAGAAACACACAGGACATAATGGGGACAAAGCAAAACACTAACTTTTTTTTTTAGGAAACTGCACACTTCTTTTACTTTGCCCTTGTGGACCACTTTGTTTAGGTCTACGACATCCTGCAAGACACTGAAATTCACCTGTAATGTGACCTAAAAAAAATCCAGAACTAAAATGTTAAAGCCGCAACAGCAATGTGGTTCCATAGATCAAACGGGTCGTAATCTTCCAGCTGGTGCCAGGTATGTAAAACCCGATTCATACAGCCACTGAATATAAGCTTCCATTATTAAAGTGAAACTTTCCATCAAGCTGAGCTGGACAGCGACCAACGTGTAGCTCAGAAGCTTTCCTGACTTCAACTCCGGTTAGTCCGGCTTATGAAACCAGCCAGTGTGAGGCCCAGGTTCCACTCTTCCCATCTGTGGTTCAATTCAAGTCTGGGAAGAAGGAGAAGGGGAGGGGACAAGCAATGCAATTACACAACTAGCTCTCTCTTTTTTTTTTTTTTTTTTTTTTTACAAATTTGCTAAATAATTCTTGTTCAAACTGGTTTATATCTCTATACTGTCTCTTCTCCACAATCTGGTCCTTTCTTTCTGTTTAAAGTAACCCCTAAAGGAAAACTACTGATCTAAAGCAGTCAAGTGAGTTTCAACACCACGCTGTCAAGTGCACAAGAGAGGAGCCTCTCCTAAGTCATGATATAGAAAAACAAAGGCTTTATAATGATTATCAAAAAAGGACATATACCAATTTAAAACCATTACAATGAAAAGACAACCTGTTAATTTCATATGCAAAATCTATTAAATTAGGGCCAGACAATTATATGCTTTTGCAATATAATCGTACTTTAACAAAACACAATTTCAAATGGCTCTCAATTTTTCATCACATTTAACAATGTGAGACACTAGATTTCTCACTGCAGCCCTTTAGGTAGTGGTTATACACTTAAAGTGGGCTTGCCACCACAGAGAGGCTGCTATTATCTAGCATGATCCTTATATTGTATTTAATTTCCCTTTGGGATGATTCAAGTATTTCTGAATGGAATTGATCCATGCATGCAAATAGAAGTAAGCACTTTTTAATAAAACAACTAGAAGCTTGTGATAAGTGCAAAGGAAAATCCCAGAATCACAAGAACGGCGATCCCAATATTGGTTAAAAAATGTTCGGCACTACTTGAAATACCTTCACTTTTTTAAGTTAAAGGTGCTTAAGGCAGTGAAAACAAAACGTGGAATAGCCCTTTAGCAGTTGACCAAAGAATCAAAAGCAAAATCAAATCAGAAGCTGACTTTAGCTTCATGCTCAGCAGCTCTATACCACAGCGTTGTCAACGTTAATGAGGAGTTATTATCAGCGTGATCATTTTAAAAATGTAGTCACAGCCTAAAAGGCCTTCATTATAACATTTAAATCGAACAGTAGGTTAGAACAGGAAGCAGTCTCACAACTTTACAACATGGTTCCTTAGAAGAACAACTAATATTTGCTTTATGTAAAGAGCGCTTTTAAAAAAGCGAATGTGTGCAAACATTGAAAAGTCTCTGAGCGAAAGGCAGAAGGATTCATTCATTCCCATCACCTGGGTTGGTGAACACAAAGGGATTGGCAGGAGCTGGAAAGAGAGGCTTATTGTTGCATTCTTGCGCTGACCGCAGCATCGACCCCAAAGCTTTCCATCTACAATAACAGGGGGCTAATTCGGGGTCCGATTCCCAGACTACTTAATTGGGACAAAACATTGTGTTTACAGTTTCTGCTCGGTCACACAGCCGATAAATGTTAACCTTTGTCCCTTGAATGCAATCACTGCATACAGGACCGCTGCTACAGTCAGCATGCCTTCATCAGCTCACCATCGCAAACAAAACAAGAAATCTATACATGCAGTTCTGCAGCAGAGTACCTACACTATTCTGGAGCAATATGGGGATTTAATTGCATGTTTTCAGACAAGTAAAAAAAAAAGAAAAAAACCTTAATAGACATATTTTTGCTGTTTACTACAACACAGTGGTCAGTCCAAAGGATACATCTAAAATAATAAAGTTTACCAAGGAAAACATTGTGCTGATTGAGCTATGTATCAGTGATTTATGGCAAAACTCTTTAAGGACGACTGACATATCAAAACACCGGGTTTCCAAGTAAAAACAATAGCTGGAAGAAAAGGTGTTTTGTCTTAAACTGCTGCCCTGCAGTCGCCACTTAAGCTCAACACTGAGCCTTTCAGTTCTATCCTTATTTATGGTGCTGTCACTTTAAGAGTCTGTTTATCTTTGCAGTCTGGTTTCATTTGAGGTTTGATTCCTAAAAAACACCAAAACACAGTTTTTCTTCTGACTGCTGAAATATATCCAACTGTTCTGTGGGTGAAAGACTGGTCCCCCCAGGATGTACCACAGAACTTAGCAGGAAATCGCTCCTATCTGTAGATCAAACTGTTTAAACCCACTAATGCTGCATAAACATAAGACTTTTCACCTTTGCAGAATTTTAGTGCAGTACAGCAAACTTAATAAGCTACATATTAAGCATAGTTTTCAACATTATATGTGTTATTGGAGCAACTAATTTATGCTTTTTCTATTTGTAGATTTTGACTGCATTCTGATGAAAAATAGAATTTTAGGAGGTACTTTGCAAGACACTTATATCAATAATGATAATATTATCAACAATTGCTTAACTTCAAGTTAAATACCTTATTTCAAACTTTTATCGTGTAAATACTAATTTAAGGCAGCTACATATTTTAACTCATTTGCCTAGAATATTTAGCTTGATTCTTAAATTCATAAAATAAAGTTGAAGTTTATTAAAAAGTGTATAGAGTTAAGTGAAAATAATAATAAATCAAACTTTTTCCAAAAAAAGTGTAATTTTTGCTCTAAGAAAACGAATTATATGATACATATTTTATTTCAAATAATTAAACACATTTAAAAAAACGAATACATCAAATATAAGGAAAAAAAGGAGTAAAGAATAATAAAAAAAATAAGAATAAAACGCATGACAGATGACAGATGTTATCTGTGTGATGTAACTTACAACCAATCAATTCACATTAATATTTCACTAAAAGCGGGAATCTTTTTTTATACATTTTTTCCCGTTTTGTAAACTTTCGAAATATGTAGCTGCCTTTTAGTGGTTGTTTTTTTTTTTTATTATCTTATCTTATTTTTTTCTCCTACTTGCTTTGATTCTGTTTTAGTTTTCCTATATTTTAATCATGTAAAGCACTTTGCATTGTCTTTGTACTGAATTGCCTTTACAAATAAATTTGCCTTGCCTTGCCTTAATCAACAGTTAATAAGCATCCGCGCTTTTTTTTTTTATTCTCTGTATTGCACAACTTTTTTCTTTATTTATTTGCAACAGGAATGATGGAGAGCAAAACAAGACAACGTTTTTGGGGCATATTAAAATCAATAAATGCCGACAAAATAACAATTGTTTGTTTTCTTACTTACTTTCCCCGTGCGCTCTGTGAAAACTCAAGGCAAAGCAGACTGCGGCCAAAACACAAGCCAAAGTCCGGAGCCACATAGCTGCCACCATCCGACCGCCGCTCCGGGGCCAAAATACAAAATAATCCCGTGCAAAGAGGTGGAGGGAAAAGTAGTCCAAACCGCTGGAGATATACGCTCAGGAAGCGGGGTTTGTTTGGCAGCGTGGGCCAACAGGTAAACAAAAATAAATAAAAGACATCCCGGAAGATGGGCGGAGGAACGTGTCCAACGTGTTCGCTCAAACACAGGCTAACGCTGCAGCGGCTACAGCTAGCCTCCCGGTGAAAAACAGCCCCGAACTAACACCGCTACCACACATAAGCACTAATGTTGTCGCTTAAACATCCCGGCTGCGTAAAACAGGTCAAAGGCAGCTGCTCCGCGTCCACAGAAGATAACGGGAAACGGGAGACTTGTTTAGCTTGTTGCGGCCGTTGGTAGCGCTAGCTCGGGAAGCTAACCCTGGCAGCTCCGCTTCGCTTCAGGGCCAACTGAAGTTTACGCAGCTTCTCAGCAAACCTCTGCAATCAGTTCATATTTGGAGAAATGTAGGAAGGAAAAAAAAGTCAATCGATTGCAATGCATCCCGCTGTTTCTTAGAAAAAAAGAACAAAAACGCATGAATTAAATCCACACAAAAAGCTGACCTTTATTCAGAGGGATTTGTGACATGCGTGGCGTAATGTTACCGTGGCTCGTAAAAGAAAAACAAAGAGAAATCCATAAAAAAAAAGAGAAAAAAATGAGTTCCTTTTGTTAACTTGTTAGATATTTCTGGGGTTAGTAATCTTAGTATCCCTCCTCAGGCTTTGCAGAGATTTCACCGCTGTTAAAAAAGGCTGACAGACTTCTGGCAGCTGAGAAGCGCTCCTCACCGCTTTTTGTTTGAGAGTTCAAACTAAAGAGGTGAAAAAAAAAAAACACGCTCCAAGTTTACCTCACGTTATGCAAATCTGCTGCAAAAAAAAAAAAAAAAAAAATCACGCATGCAAGTGGATAATTAGAAAAAAAATGTTCGGGTTTTAAGTAGAGTTCTCCTGCACAGATAGCGGTAGAGTCTCCCAGCTCCTGCAGGATCCCCTTCTCCTTCCCAGGCAGGCTGTCCGCCAGTAAACAAACCCAGCCGGAGGGGCTGCAGGGGAAATACGGACTGGAGCTGCATGGATCACTAATCCAACTGTTCCCACACTGACTGTCATTTTCAGCTTTTAAACAACTTATTCTACTGCTTGTCAAAATGATATAATCTGAAACATGCAGTTAGATGAATAGAAAAAAAATATACCCTGTAATTATAGTTGTATTGGACATTATTTTATTTATATGTTGGACTCCATCACTAACTAAAGATAGTTGTTTTATATGTAAATATTAACAATTGAGGTTTTGCTCCTGTTTTTTCTAAAGATATTTTCTATTGTATGTATAGAACAATATTAATTATAGACATTATTGGTAAAGAAGAGGATATTTTTGTGGAATTCTTATTTTGAATTGATTCATTTTCAATGGCACCTTTTTACTTTGGGTTATGGGGTCACTGCTCAATAAATAAATAAATAATAAAAAATGAATAAATATATATGTGTGTGTGTGAGGGTCACATGTTTGCAGCTTCTATTTTCTGTTATTCAAAGAAGAAGCCATTGATTAATAATACCTAAAATATAAAAACCATAGATAGATAGAGGATAACGATTCTGTGTTCTCATAGAAGAATGTTTATTCAGTTGATGTTTAATTGCTTGACCTTTAATTGAACAAGCTCAGTTTACCTGTTTAGATGTTTAGAGCATTATTATTCCAGATCAGTAATAACAGTTATAGAAATAAAGGGTATATGGAATAATCTTTCTTCATGTAAAAATGAATTAGATCATAGCTGCTCCTTTTTTTTGCTATATTGTGATAAATGGATATACCGTTGGATTACGATTATTAATGTGATGTGATTCTAATTTTGATTTATTTATTTCATATGTTAAAATTAGAATCTGTATGTATGTACTTGAGATTTGCCTATATGTTTAAAATTATCATGTTGATAAAGCTTATTTGACTTCAAATAGGACAAGCCAAGCAATAAAGGAATTTCTATGCAAAACTAAACAAAAAAAACAAAGTAAATATATTAATCCTAAAAAACCTAAACTCTACATCAAATATATGAAATAGCTCATTGTACAGTGAACAGATAGGTATACAGTCCTTACACTGATTAAAATTAAGCTGTATTGTTTTAATAAGTAGCATGGCTGCACAGTAGTCTACAGATTAATCCCCATTTACAGTTTAAATTAGTCTTGGATTCAGATTTAATCACACTGATGTCCTTAAACTTAATACTTTCAGATGAAACCTTTTTTTTCTGTTAAATATTTAGTGTTAATAGAAACACAAAGATGAGCTGGAGCCATAAAAAAAACTTCTTACACAGATCATATAAGGAACACAACAACTATATGAAACCAAAATAGAGCTACATGAAAAGGACTATATGTGAAGAAAAATGTTTTAAATATGTATATGTCTGATAAGACTTTCTGTTGTTAATAACTTTCTAAGTTAGAGTAATTGTTTTCTACTTATTGCTGAACAAAAGAGAAACATTGTATTGTACTGTAAGGAAATTGTACCACAAACTGCATTATGCTAAAGGAAACATTAAACAAAATTATATTCAAACAGAAAAAAGTACAGTTATGAGTTTTTAGGCACTGTTATATCCTGACAACCTGGCATGTTATCTGTGAGTTTATATTTGTAATTGTTTTAGCAGAAAAAAAACAAAAAAACATTTCCAAAGATTACTTCACTTCTCTTTTTTTATGTTAACATTCTATTTAAACAGTGTAGGTTATATCCACACATGAAGCCCATTAAAAGCAAATCCTAAAGCTGCAAAGATATGGTTTAGGTTTTTGATGCTGTTAAACGAAAAGCATCCTTGAATCTCATCCGGACTGGACTTGGCTTCTTGTCTTTATCTAAACTGGTCTTATTTTAGGAAACTGGTGGGGAATAGATGAGGAAGGAAAGTGTGTCTATAAAACAACTATTGTTTAAAAAAGAGAAGAAAAAAAAACGGAGCACAACTCTCCCTTTTGATCCTCTGTCGTTCTCACACTCAGACAGAGAGAGATGGAAAAACAGAACGGTAAGGCGTTTTATGCTCAGCTCCCAGAGGCTGAAAATATTCAATCATGTTCTTTCCGACGTGTTGTTCTGTACTCTGCATTTGTGCCAAAATGCCATCTCCATCGCTACTGCTAATTCTGTTTACATCCTGCATTAAAACCCTGTTTGATCCCAGATCATCACATCCTGTTTTCTACTGGCCCCAAAAGAGCCAACTTTAATTACTTCTTAAAAGCAGACAGTCCAAACACCTTAATGCACAAATTAGTTCAGTAAGATTCATGTTTGCTATTTACCACAGAATAACAGACCGTCCCATGTGTTTTACAACACAGTGATCCAGCCATAGATAGAAAAAGGCCCGCCATAATGAATGAAGCAGGGCTGAACTGCTCTGCTGTGAATTTTATATCTTAAGCATTAAGCCTCTATTGAGTGTGCCATCTGTAGGAGTGAGAGGCCTTAATGAGATTAAATCTTACTGCGAGTGGCGGGACAAAGCCATGGCCCACTTCCCATTCATGAGCCCAACTCTTTTTTACACTTTGTAATCAGAGGTTCTCACAGGATATGGTCAAACATGTACAGAGGTAACATTTTAAACCCGTTTTTGAAATATGTGTGTACGCTCTGTCTGTTAAACTGCAGTAAATCTATAGACTGTAATGAGAGTAAACCGTAAAAAAAAAAGTCTCATATGGTTGTATGTCCTTATAGGGCTTTTTAACTTCATGCATCAATTTAATTTTAGTTTTATTTGGTGTCTGAGCATCCATTGATGAACCCATCCCCAAAAGAGCTTAGATAAAGGCTACACATACCACCAGAGCAACAATAGAACGGCATAGTTCAAAGCGTATATTGAAGCATTGGAATGGCCCAGTCAAAGTCCAGAGCTAAATCCAACTGACAATCTGTGGAGAGACTTGAAAGCTGAAAGAAATGGGTTATGTCGGGTATGTGTGTCAGGCTGGCAACAAAGATCAAATCAAAACAGCTTCTTCTCTAAGATGTCTGCTGTGTGTCGACACACCAATGTTTAATCCGTCTATTGAGTTAAGGAGCCTTTTATTTATGCCTGAATGATTAGCTAAACAAGCCAAAAACAGGAACCTGGAATTGACTAAAAAGCGGAAAAAAATGTCTAAATAAACCCTTAAAGCTAAAACAACTATTACACCATGAAAGGTTACGAGAAGGTCTGACTCATTAGAAACAAATTAGGAAACTCAGGATGACCTTTGATGTATTGACGCTACTTTATCTACTATAGGCTTCTGCTGGAAGAGAGGGAGAAAAATTATTTCTTTATAAATCACACGTTTTTGATATTGTTTTGATCTATTAAGAAATAAAGGAGCTAATTAAAAAAATCTTCAGGATCACCTATGCCTACAGTGAACACTTCTGCCTTTTCCTATAGTGTTTCTCTTTCTCTTTCTGATTGTGATGATCAGAAATGATCATCCACTAACCAGCTGTGGTAAAGCTATGGATGATCTGTTAGTCTGGGTGCTTGTCCAACCTCCTGGATGTGTTGTTGATGCATTTCAATCACCTCTTAGAACTTCTGATCATGATATTATTCATCTCTTGTATACTGGACTGTTTATAAGCTTTCAGATAGAAAGACAAGTGAAAAGTTCAGACGATACATCTGATTTTCTTCCTAGAAACTTTGCACAGGAGTTTTCTCCAATCTGGCATAAACTCTTCCAGCTTTCTGTCGATACTTTTTCAGTACCAGACACCTGGAAGACTTGATGTGTTAATCCAGCTCCACAAACCTGCATGTCCTGAAGATGATAATGGGTGTGTTCGATTTCAAAGGCTGCATCCTCCAACGTCCCGGTCTATATGGACTGGATCCTTTGAGGTCCCAATCAGATCGTATAAGGCAGCCCAATCAGCTAATTAAAAACACCTGCTGCCAGGATTAGTGGATACTTGTTGAGGACCCAAAAGGAGAGACGAAGGGGCAGAGATGATTTCTTGAAAAATTTTAATGAAGTAAAAATATCCATTCCTTTTCCCATCATGCTTATCTCAAGCAGGGTCGCGAGGGTTGGTGGGGCCTATCTCCAGCTGTCTACAGGCTGGGTACACCCTGGACAGGTTGCCAGACCATCACAGGGTAACACAGAGACAAACAGGACAAACAACCATTCACACACACACTCACACCTAAGGAGAATTTTAGAGAAGCCATTTAATTTAACAGTCATGTTTTTAGAATGTGGGACGAAGCCAGAGTACCCAGAGAGAACCCAGGCATGTACAGGGAGAACATGCAAACTTTATGCAGAAAGACCTCGGGCTAGGAATCAAACCCAGAATCTTCTTGCTGCAAGGCAGCAGTGTTACTCACTGTACCACTGCGCAACACGTGCGTAGTACAAAAGAAAGTAAAAATACAGAAGCCATAATACAGAACTGATCGACAAGAAACTCAGGAAACAAAAAGTAGGAGACACTAGGGAGGACTAAATCAAAGGAATGGAGGAATGAAAAGAGAATCAAGTAATAAGGAACTGCACAGGAGATGATAGAACAAAGAATGGGGGAGTGGTCGCCTAGTGGTTAGGGCATAGATCTTGGAATCCTGAGGTTCTAAGTTCGAGCCCCACTCCCACTCTGGACCCTTAACCCTTTTTGCTCCCCGGTCGCCCCATGATGGCAGCCCGCTGCTCCCTAAGGGGATTGGTTAAATGCAGAGGTACATTTCTCCAATGTGAGATCAATAAAGTTCAATTGAATGGGCTAATCAGCTGACAGGGAGCAGGTATGGACAGAAGCAACTACAGGGGAGTCAAGGGAAAGGAGAGGGGCACCAGGGGGCAACAGAGAGTAACTCAAAAGAATATATAACTGGTTAAATATAACTAGAAAACAACTAGAATGACACAAAATAAAAATGAAACCAATGACCCAGAAAACACAGAATG